CACATGTGGACTGGTTGGGCAAACTCCCATGAACCCTCCGCCACCCTGAAGAGGGTATAGAGCTGGTCCAGTGTTCCACGGCCAGGACGAAAACCGCATTGTTCCTCCTGAATCCGAGGTTCGACTATCGGTCGAATTCTCCTCTCCAGTACCCTGACATAGACTTTCCCGGGGAGGCTGAGGAGTGTGATCCTCCCTATAGTGGAACACACCCTCCGGTCCCCCTTCTTAAAAAGAGGGACCACCACCCTGGTCTGCCAGTCCAGAGGCACTGTCCCCAACTGCGATGCGATGTTGCAGAGGTGTGTCAGCCAAGACAGACCCACAACATCCAGACACTTAAGGTACTCAGGGCAGATCTCATCCACCCCCGGTGCCTTGCCACCAAGAAGCTTCTTAACTACCTCGGTGACTTCAGCTTGGGTGATGGAAGAGTTCACCTCTGAGCCCTCAGCCTCTAAGTGGATTGGGCAGCAGTCGAAGGCCTGAAGCAGTTAAACCAATTTAATTTTCTCAAAAAGAGAAAGTGAGAAGAAAGTAATAGAGATGACAGATTCCAATTGTGTTGACTTGCTGATTATGTGGCAACATGGGGCTATTTCCATGGTGAGGACACAGCTCTTCTGGCGGTATCCTGAGTGACAGACTAACAAGTCCAAGTCTGTGTTATCCTCATAACTGTTCTGCAGCTCTCTCCATAAACACTCCTACTGTCTTGCTCTCAGGGAGGACCAGCATATTTTAACTTCGGTTGTGAGACCAAACAGTTCAGCAGACATCTGTCTTTTTTTTTCTAAGCAAGCGGAGGAGAGCAGGCAAAGTATGAGTGGTGCAGGTATTCAGCTAAGGAGCACCAGCTGCTCCAAGCAGCAGGCTGGCAGAGCCTCTGTCTGTCTTTTACTGCCCTCACTCTGTCCGACTTCCTTTCACTGCTGCTGCTCCTCTTCCTCCTGGGCTGCGCCCTGGTCTTGTGTCTCTCCCTGACCCTGGATCTCAGCCTGGGCTTGTGGCTGTTCCTGAGGTTGTCTGGGAGGGGTCACTGGGGCGGGGGCAGGAGGGCGAGGGGGCACTATGATTTGATGCTGGCGTTGCCGGTAGGCGATGACTGTGCCTAGTAGTAAGGCAATGACAGTCATGAGGTAGAGGTCCCACTCTGGGCCCAGAAGCTGATCCAGGTCCACCTGAGAAGTCAGCTCCTTCAACTGGCAGAAACCAAACAGGGATGGGACGGGACAGAGGACATATGATTAATACTGAGGGGTTATTTTGCAAAGCCTATTTATCACAGCTTCAACTTGAGAATAGGTACTCACATTAAAATCCTGCAGGTACTGCAGTGTGTAGACCAGGCCCAGCTTGCACAAGGCTAGGAAAACAGGGACCTGGGCATCAGGACTTGCTTCAGCAGCCATGTCGTAGAACCGCTTTGCTAGATGGACATCCTGCAGAAAACACATTCTGTTAATTCAAACCAATTCTGATTTACAACTGTGTGTGCATTGTTCAACTTGAGACCGACGACCACATTAACTATATTTATGTCTATGTCTAAGTCCAAGTGCATGTGTATGAAATACTGAGAGAAAGCTGTTGTCTTAGAGCCACCAGTGAAACTTCATGCTCACCTGCTTGATGCCCAGGCCTTTCTCATGCATGTAACCAAGGTTAAACATGGCCTGGGCACTGTGCTGCTGCTCTGATGCCAGTCTGTAGTGGATGACAGCTGTTTCATAGTCCACATCTGTTCCAAAGCCATAGAAGTGGTAGTCCCCTAGTTTTATCCTTGCCACAGTGTAACCTGGTCAAATCACAAGTCAATTTTCATTCTACTCAACTAGTTTTCTTTATATAAACCAATCACAGATGGCCTCCAAATAAAAAAGAAATGATAAATGCTAAAAATAAATCTAATACAACAGATGAGGGACAGGAAATTACCTTGTGCTGCAGCTCTTGTCCAGTGGAGCAAAGCACGAGGGTACGTCTCATTCTCACTGAAGATTTTTGCCCCTTCTGCTTGTTACAATGCAAACAGAAACATAAGAGCATTTTTTTCACTACATCAAATGTGCTTCTGGTTAACAATAGCCAATTCGATTTCAGTTTCATTCAAAGCAGGATGGCTAATACTCACTGGCACCTAAAGTTTACACTCATTCATAAAATACTGCTTTTAAAGTGAATGTCATGAAATTCCCCTGTCATGATGCATAATATCTTGGTTTGTCTTACTCTGGTCCAGAATGAAGGCTACATTGCTCTGGGCCACCTCGTAGCCCTGCTCAGCCAGAAGCAGATACTGGACCAGTGCAGCATCTGTCTCACCCTCCTTAAAGCTGCCGTAGGCCGTCATCAGACGCTCCGACCAGCGACCACGCTCACACACGTTTTTAAAAAGCTGCAGCAAAGATAAAGGCACATAGTGTGACACGCTAAACAACTGGGTCTATTTAAGAGTTACTGCATGCAAAACAATAACTGATGTGACTTGTAAATTATATCGCATTCCATTATGATGCAAGAGCAACAACCATTAGGGTCGAATGAGAATGAATGATAATTACATCAAATGAGGAGCAACACAGTCAGCAGCATATGGGTTTTAATAAGGGAGTAATTGCTGAATCACAGCAAAGAGATGCTCTCAGTTCTGCTTAATTCAACACAGGAAACGAGCAGCAGCCCCAGACTGGCTCACCTCCACAGCAGTGTGGCAGGAGCGCATCACACCAGTACCAGTGGCATGCATCTGGGCCAAGTTGTAGAAAGCCAGGATGTGTCCTGCCTGTGAGGCCAGGTTGAAGAACTTAAGTGCCTGTTTGTAGTCGCGCTTCACACCAATGCCATCTGAGGAACAAGATGAAGAAGAGAGAACAGGGAATCACATGGAGATGAAGTAGAAGTAGATTTAGTAAACAGGGAAGAAGGAAAAGCTACACCATGAGGCTGTGGTACCCTGAGGGACACACAGGTGTGTAAACACATTCATTAAGCCCTCAACACTCACTGTAATACATGGTGCCCAGTTGGAGTTGTCCATCCACCCAGCCCTGCTCTGCTGCCTTCTGGAAGTACTTCAGTGCCAGCTCATAGTTCTGAAGAGACGCACACAACTTTCAAATGGCTGCTCTGATTTCAGCATGACAAAACCTCATACACTTAACTGCTGAGAGCCTATATTTTCACCTACTTCTTGGTATCAAAAATCATGGCTGCTAGATTAGCAAAAGTAAAAGGAGTCCAAGTGGTTTTATCTTACATTAATGTAGAGATTATTTCAAAAGGATTGTAACATAAAATTGTTTCTTACCACTGGGACTCCTCTTCCATATAGGTAGGCCATGCCCAGGCCGCTCTGTCCCACTGGATTACCCTGGATTCATAGAAAGAAAAAAAAAAAGCAACCACAGTTCTGATATAAACATGAGGGGACATTAGTCAGCTCAGATACTGATAGAAATGCTATTCTAAAGTTTCATTCTTACCAGGTCTGAAGCCTTCTTGAAGTACTGCAGGGCCGTCTCGTTGTTCTGAGGGAGAAACTCGCTGCCTTCTGAGTACATCTGAGGGACAAAATAAGTTACAGCAATAAAAACCTGGATGCAGCACCTCAAATACAAATGTACTGCACTGCTTTCTGTGCAAACTGTGATGCCACATTACAGCCATTTAAAAAGCAAAACCTCACTTCATGAATGTGAATATACTGAAATAGATGCTTTTAGAACAGCTTCATCCCTACTGAAAGCCTTGCTCTCTTATAGCCTACGGGCTACAAAACAGTAATTAGGGAGGGGTGGTTTAAATAAATAGTGCAGTGGTAGGCAGCTGATAAATGTTTGTTCTGTCCTATAGCATGGGCTATTTTTTTTTTTTTATTACCCCAAATTGACAATATTTTTGCTGATAAAAATCTACAGACAATTTTATGTCCACCACATCATCAAATTCAACATAGATACAGGGTTAGGACAGCAGCTGTGTGATAAATCGGATTTAAAATGAGTCTTTACAAAGTTATCTACTTCTTTGCAGCATACTGTATGTACATGGTGTTCATTACTGTATGCTGGTAACTTATGGTGCTGTGTTAATCACGGTTAGTGCGGTAGTTCTTTCACTAGAAACGTGAAACCCAGCGTGTACTTTTGTATGGTTTGATGATTCAGAACTCTAGTTTACATCTGTAAACTGGGGACACTGTACTTTAAGCTGGTCAGTGAAAAAAATAAAAACAAGGAACTGTTTGATAAAACTATCTACAGTAATAAAGAACAAATGAATCAGTTTAGCCCACCTTCCACACAGGCTGACAGGTCACCCACCTTGCCGAGGAAAGCCATAGCATGCGTGTTCCCTGCATTTGCAGCCTGATTGAAGTAGTCATATGCCCTCTGTTGGAGATGAAGCATCAGAAATACACTTATCAAATTACAGTCACAACAAAACGGTGCTTGAAAAGAATCTTTGAAGAAAAGAAATAAAAGTCACCTGATGATTCTGTTCTACCCCACGTCCTCCATGCAGGTGTAGCTGACCTAGTCCCACCTACCAGGGGACACCAAGATTGCAGTTAACTGACACACTGATGTTTCAGATTCACACAGTGACGTCTTCCATCTTCCTCAAGTTACATAAATGCAATACCATTAAGATAGTTGCATGCATAGTTAAGAACATTATTTTTCATTAGGCATGTGTATTTGTCAATTTTAATTATGATTATTACTGTCCATTGTCAACTATTCCCCACACTCTGTAGATATTATTACCTTCTTGACCATAAGACCTATTTAAGGATAATAACTGTAAAAGCTGGTAGAAGATATGGTGTAACTAAGTCACAACTGCATAGGGAAATACTAAGTGGACCTAAATATATAAAGTACATTTAATACAGTCATAACATTTGGCTCTCAGTCACAATAGGCAACACAAATTTTATTTAACCAATAAAGCATTTTCCACATTCCCAGCTATCGTAATACTTTTTATACCAAAGTTCTACAAAACTGACTGATAATTTTCAATACAACTTTAAAACCATACCTAACACGATCAAGACATTTGAGCCAGACACATGTACTATATATAGAAAGATATAACTACCTTCATATTATCAGTGTAGGAGGAGGTTATAATGGAAAAAAAAAAAAAAAATACTGTTGCACTGAACAAAAGAGCCTGACAACTATTTTACCTGAGCTTGTACATCTCCTTTCTCAGCTAGGAACTGGTAATACTGGATCAGGTCCTCCTCCAACATCCCGCTAGTGGAGCCTGGGTTCTCCACCTCATCCAGAAGCCTGATCCTCTGCACCGCTGAGCCCCCTGTCAGGGACACATCGCTGGCCACTGGAGATGGTGAAGAGGAGACTTGAGAGAATGCAGATAGTAGATGGCAGACTTTTGATTATATGCAACCAAAAAGAAACAAAAACATCACACTGTGACAATAACTTAATATTTGCATAATATTACATTATAATATTGGGTGAATAGTAAATTCTCACCCTGATTCGCCACAAGCCTATAGTGTGTTAGCGCCGACTCACAGCTCTGGGGAACACCCACACCTCCCCAGTATCTGTATCCCTGTAAGACGAGAGGAAAAGGCATTTCAATACCTTCATAAGAGAGCAGTTCTCTCACTGATTCTGTAACAGACAATCAACGCACCAGAATCATGTGAGCTACCAAGTTTCCACCAAGTGCTCCAAAGGTGTAGTAAACCAAGGCCTGGGGGGGGGAAAAAATGCAGAGAATAAATGTTGGGAGAAGTGTCAGGCATTACATTCATTTGGCAGACGTTTTGTCCAAAGCCATTTTCAGTAAGTGCATTCAACCTGCACGGAGGTTGAATGCACAAAGGAGAACATGCTCAATCGAATGTTGTCAGAGTCTTACAGAATTAAGAAGTACCTTAGCTTGACTTGAGTTCACTCCAAGTCCTGCAGCATACAGAAAGCCAAGAGCCTATGGAAAACCAAACAAAGCACAATGTTCCATTAGTGATTCTCTAAGCAAAATAATATTTACTTTTAGTAAAAGTTTTCAACACTTCGATTATGTGACATGTAAGAGTTTGGGATGGGATATGTACCATCTGAGCTCTGGGAGAGCCCTGAATAACAAGCTTCTCAAACATTTCTTTGGCCTTGGTGACATTCTGGTTCATATAGTCTCCAAACAACATTGCATATGCCACCTTCTCCATGGCTTTCTGGTGGCCCTTCTCTGCTACCTTCAGCAGCTTTTCGTATAACCTGAGAGAGTGGTTGGATAAGCAGAGGTGGCATGGGTGAGGTCACAGTGACAGAGGCTTAATAAAAATAGTGTACTTAACATTACGGTGACATCTAAAGCAAACAATGATGTGCCAAGCAGAGTCGCATGGTCATAAACCACACAAAAATACATATAGCCCTACCAAATCTAAATATACAGTCAGATCAGATGATGTCTGCTAGGTAAAAAAGAAGCTTTAGGGTACATTATAAAATGACTGTTCATGAACAGAAAGCTTGATTGGCTGTAGGTAATGTGTTTCTAGCGTGTTTGTCTTCTGGCTAAAATGAAATGGTCATTATGTTTCACCATCAGATTTCAAGATTTGTGGTTAATTATCAGGTCTAGGAGAGAACTGCGAAGTTTGTGCAGCCATACGTAAGAGATTAAAAACCTAAAATAAAAGTTTGGACTGTTTCCTTGAAGAACAAAATAATTTTGTCCAACTGCAAGTGCCATTAAAGAACACAGACAAGCCCAAAGATTGAGAATCAGGTTAACCAAGGGAGGAAATCAGAGAAAAAAAAACTCACTCCTTCTTCTGGGATTTCCTGGTGGTGGCATTGAGCATTCGCAGGACAGTCTGGTACTGCTCCTCAGCCTCTTCAGCCTGCAGTCTCTGCTGTGCCTGTTCCTCAGCTAAGGAAAACAGAAAAGCAGCAGTGGGAGCAATAATAATTTGAAAATGAACCCATGATGTACTCCCTAATCACTTTAGGTAGCTGTTGAGCATTTTTGTAGTTTTTATTTGGATAGGTAAATGATTAGCTGTACATTATTAGATTGGTTTTCTAAATAAATTGACAACTGAAGATTTTCAACCAGCAACTTAAGCAAATACACTGCTGTTTAAGGCTGTTGAATGGCAGCATTTTGCCTTTAAAGTACTGTAAGATACTAAATGAACTTCAGGAAAGTGGAGGTCCTGAATTGAAGACTTACTTTCACAGAAACCCCACTTTTTTTCTTGGTCATAGTCATAGGTTGTGGCACACCACAGCCGCCCATCCCCTCGTCCATCAGTGGTACAGTCCGAGTACTCCTTCTCTTGGAAGCGGAACGGAAAGATGCAGGGTTCTCCATGTGCTGTACCTCCATTCACCACAGGAACTGTATGTAAAAAAGCACAATAGAATATAGCAACATATAAAAAAAAGCTACCATATTGATTGTGATTTTTTTTTAAAACTAAGAAAACAATTTTGCATTTACAACTTCCTATACATTAAAAAAAAAAATCTGTTGATGTCAAATATTTCTAAATCTTCATCTTTATGTCGACTCAGCGGCAGAAAAACAGCTGATTGCCACAGAGTAAAATGATGCAACTGAGTGCAAGAGGAGCCACAGGTGCAAGGCACTTTTATTTCCCATGGGGTTTAACCGTTTATACAATCTGGCACTGCCTCGAAACCACTGCCTTTGTCGGCAAAACTGAAAAACAGGTTAATGTGTCAAGACTCAGCCAAGCTTACAAAGTCAAACAGAGCAATCCTGCTAAATACCAGATGTTATTTAAAACCTGAGAAATCATTTAACATACTGACAGACTATCACCATGCCAGTCACATTTGCCAGAATTTTTATGAAAGGTTACATGTCACTATAGGCTCAGATTTCATTGTATCGCACAGTTAGGGCCAGAACAAACCCTTGTTAAGCACAGTATCTGAAGCCTACGGTATCAAACAACTGAAATGATTTGCTGTCATAACCACACACAGTATAAGATGAGCTGACAGGGTCCCATTTTATTCCATTTGATTAGGGTGGCCAGAGCCACATTCTTTAAAGTTTCAGTCATTTCATTTCTCCATCAGTTCCTGGTTTTTACACAGAACAGGCAAAAACACTGCACTCAAAAGTCAGAAAATATGCCAGCTCATGATCTGTCCCTCACACAAACATTTGGAGCTAAACCCCTACATAAGCCAAGAAAACAAACCATGGGCAGAAACAGCAGTGTGTGTAGCTAGAAAAACACAAAAACTAAATTTTACATTCACTGCATTAAAATGAAAAAAGGACATGTTAAAGAATTCCAAGTGTGTGCATAAGAGACCACACAGGTCTTATATTGTGACTTTTTCCCTGGCTGTACTATGTGAATGATTTAAAGCTTGTGTTTGATTTAAAGTTTCTGTCTTTACCCTCTTTAGCTTTCTCCTCAACTACAGGCTGCTGATCCGGCAGGTCCTCCTTCTCCTCTCCTTCCAGTCCACCTTCATTTGACTGTTTTTTCTCTTCTGGCCAGGAGACATCGTGGTCAGAGGTCACAGAGGGATCTGCGACAGTGCCAGAGGCTGGACGGATGTCTTCCTCTTCAGAGTCTGGGTCATGGTAAGACTGGGGAGATAAACGAGAGCTTTAAGTTTTAAGTTAATCCATACAGCCAACATGTCACAAAATGAAAACGGAATAACACACAAGGTAAGCAAGTAGCATGATGTGTCAACCCATAAAAGACACTGGGTAGTAGATAGCAACAGCCATTTCTTTGGAGACCTAATTTGTTCTTTAGCTCCATCACACCGACATTGTCAACTTATAAATCATCCTCAGGGTTTGATATGCTAACTTCACGACCAATATCTGGTAGCTCATGGTGTACCTTTAGCGTTTGTCCGTCATTCACGTGTTGCTCTTCATCTGAAAAGTATTAATATAGAAGCAGAGTTATCTTGAGATGTACAAAGCTCTTTATTAAACATAAGCAGCTAAACTGCTGAAGAAACAGGCACTTCTGCCCGCACAGATATTAGTCAGTTGTATGACTAACTGACATACTTACCAGCTGTTATTCCTGTGGCGAAGACTATCAGAAGAATGATCCAAAAATAAAACGTTCTTACAGTGTTTGAACACCTCTTATAGCCCATTGCTGTCGTTGTTGACAAGCTAACAATCTGCTAGCTGTAGCTGCTGCTATTTCTGTCCCTAAACATTCAGTTACGGTTGACTCCCACTACGCAGCATAAATACACAGACACACAAACGCAGAAGCAAAATTTCTCTGGATACCAACTTGGGTAACTGCAACGTTGGCTGTCAAACAAGCTAAAACATTTCAAAGCTAGCAGAGTAGTAAATGAAACGACGTCCAGCTAACAAGCTATTGTTACACAGCCACAGACATAAAACAACCGAACGGCATATCTGCAAAACTCATCGATCTCAAACTTTGTTCCCGCATGCCTCTTATCACTTCAATACATTGGAGATGAACGATTAGACACAAAAGCTTCAACGGCTGATTTATATTAACCAGATACTACTTAGCTACCCATGTAAAGCCCACACTACTGATCGACACTTCCTACTCCCTTCCATTCGAACCAATCACAGAGCCCGTACTACGACCGTAGCCAATGAGCTGAAAGCAAAGATGTGTCAGCGAATCAGCTACGTACACAATTATATTACCAGTCGATGGGCTTGCCCACAACAAAAAGCGTTATGAAAGTGCAGCCATGTGGAAGTGATAGGAGGTTGCTTTGGGCAGCATGTTATTAGCAGCACCATAAGCAGAGTACATACACATTTTTTATAAGTACAAAAGTAATAGATATGAGCATAAATGTATACGAACCAAAATATAATGCATATCAAAAATGTATTAAATGTGTCTATCCAATGAATTATGCAGTGAATGTTTTACTCTGCATTATATGTAAACACTTTATGGCAGTGGTCCCCAACCCCCGGGCCGCGGACCGGTACCGGTCCGCGGATCAATTGGTACCGGGCCGCACAAGAAATTAATGATTTCCGTTTTATTTATTATCTGAGTCTGAACGATCTTTTATTTTGAAAAATGACCGTATTCTCTCGGTTACATCTCGGTCGAGCGCCAAAACTGGCTTACTTGTGGACATATTCAGCCTGCTCAATGAACTCAATCTGTCACTTCAGGGGAAAATGACAACTGTCTTCAAGTTGGCAGATAAAGTAGCTGCATTTAAAGCCAAACTGGATTTGTGGGGACG